ATGTGTATAACTGGAAGGAGCCTTAGTAAGTGGAAAATCTTTGGACCTTTCTGAAAATAGCTGGTACAGCTTCATTCAACGTAACCGTGGGGTGGTTCTTCTTTTGAAAAAAATTTAAATGATTGTTCAAAGTTTCAAACATATCAGTAATGACTAATGTGGATTTAAAAATTGTTCACAATTGCAAATATAAATGTAGATGAACTATATATCATTGTTTAACATCATCAAATTTTGTATATATAAGTAAAAACAACGAATATCCAGTGTAAGAATTTTTATATTTTTAGACTTTCGATTCGTTCAAAACATATTTAATTTCAAAACGAAGTGCTCTATATAATTCTCAATTGCTCGACTACACGTGAAATCATTTAAGTAAAAGCACATCTATCACTTAAAAGGGTTCTATAAAAATAAAATGGCAAGAACAATCAATTTTATCCTCATTCCTCACTTCGCTCAAGCGATTTAATTTAAAACCATTATGTTTAGCCACCGTAGAGTAAATGTTATTTTAAAATACATTTTATATGTTTTGATTCTAACCTAGCGAGTAGTCCCTCTCTATACATATTTATTATATATATATATCAATTATAAGACAGATCTAATTGACTATACCTATGTGATTTTTGTTGTTGTTTTAAGTGTAATCAGCAGTTAGTAACTATAGAATTTCCAATTTACATTTTAGTTAGGTCAGGTATGTAATATAAAGTATAAACTAGGCCAGTTTTTTGATAAACTTATAATAAATAAATATGGAAATTTTGTTGGTATCTGCCTATATAATGAATGTATATTAGTTATGCAAAAGTCGGTTATAATATGACTACCTATCTACCTGTCTACCGGTGACATTGTTTTGTAAAAATCTTTAAGTAACCGGACCTTCAATATAAATATACAGATTGTCTTTTGACTTGTTTTGATTGTTATGAAATAGTGTACTGGATGCGAATACAGCAATTAATAATTTATTCGTACCTTATTGTTTGAAATATACTAAATGTAAGTTATAGGTAATAAACGTAACTAGACCGATGATATTCTCTAATATACTCTGAATTCTGATTGATTGATTTACATCACACCATTAACACAGACCGACCACGTTCTACCCGTTTATAATTGACCACTTTGCACTCAAACCTATTCAGAGTAATATTACATTAGGTGCACACGTCATCACGAAAGCAGTGAGGTGATTGGTGAACAATAACAGAGGAACTGGTGTAATCAACTGTTTAGGACGTTCATTAAACTCATAGACATCCTGCAGCTGTATAAACGTGATAATAATATGCATTATGAATAATACACGACGTGTTAATATGAAGTGTATTCTGTGTCAAGCGATTATGGATTGTCACTATATAGAATAAAGTGTGGAAAAAATTAATAATCTGAGAAATTTGAGGAGTAATAATTTGTACACTTGGATCATATTGCTATTATACTTACCAATATATATTTTTTAATATATTTCGAGACCATTCACTCTCGATTCAAAAGTTAATTTCGATTAACATAATACGCATGCATCAACGGTTTTACGATATAGATAATTATAAAATATAGGCGTACATACATAAAGATATACAAATATTAAGAAACAATATTACAAATAATACAAATACCTAATACAAATTATTATTAACTTACTAGGTAGGTAACTTTTTAGTTTTCGGTACAGTTGTTAATAAATAATAATAATTTGGCGACAGCTGAATTAGTATGCACAAATGCACCACAGCGTGCACAGCTACTTAAGATTTCATGGTTTTCAGTTTATGAATTAATTAATACACGCACCGTGAAACTACGTTGCCTTTCGGTCGACCCACCTCCATTATGTAACGGTGCGATTTGTGTTTGCTGGTTGTATTGACCAAAATTAACACCTTCAAAGGGTTCTGATACGTAAACACTATAGCTTTGTTCTTTTCTTTTGTATTTTTTATATCAACAGTCAATCAGAAGAGTGATACATATAAACTTTTTTTAAACTTACACTTACAACAATCTACAAATGTGTAATATTAATCGGTAAATTATTATTAAACCACTTTTTTTTATAAATATTATTATTTTTTTTCATTTTTTCGTTCTTACTTGTTATACAATTGCAGACGACGACGTTATTCCAAACAAAAAATAACACGATTTGTTTTAGTACATTTAATTTTGATAACAAAAATTAATACCTATAGGTACCTACATATAAAATATTTTTAACAAATAAAATTACTAATTATAAAAATGTCGCTCTGCTGTACAGTAGGTTACAAGTGGGCCACTGTAATGGATGGTGTTAAATTTGAATTCAATGATATAATATCATTGTATAAGAAAAACGATTCTGAGCAAAAATAGTTAGATAAAGTTTATTTGATGATATTAGTGTGTATAAATTAATTTATATATTTACCTATTTACGTGGAACCTTGTTTTAAATTTTCAGTCCTTAGCTATAAAAGTTGAATATTTTATAAATTTATAGCTACAAAATAATAATTACGTTTTAAATTTGATAAATTTTATCTTAGTTTAACTTTAAATGCTTATATAAAAAAATTGTGCCTATGTATTTTTAATATTTTTCAATTGCTATTGTAACAATATATCAGGAGCCTTGCATTAAATTTTCAAGCTTTTTTACCCAACAATTAATAAAGTGTCATTGACATTCATAGAAAAAAAGACTAATAAAATTGGAAACTGGAAATGTTCCTCAACAGTTCAAAAGAAATCAAAAATTTTTGAAAATTTTATCGTGTAAAATGGGTATAACAATATAATTTGACATTAACTCAGAATGTCGAAAAAATATTTAAATAAGTGTTTTATACTATAAAAGGTATAGGTAGATAAACTGTGCATAAAACGTAAACTGTTTTATAAGAAATTAATAACGTACCTATATTATGTTCTCTTTGCACGAAGTATTAAAAACGTATAAAAATTAATCGAGCGCGATTTATTGGAGTGCTCGTCCAAGTGTACTTCGTGCGTGATGTGTTGCGTATAATATAATATAATATGGTCAAATAAAAGACCAATGAAACAATTCCGGTGAAAGATAGGGTATACAATGACCACGTATATATAGGGTATTTAGCCGTAATAGACTGTCATCGTTCTTCTGTAAGCCGAGCGTCAGACGTGAGTTGATTTACAAAAATATATATCTGCGTTTGTGTGTACCTTACAAAAGATAGATCGCGAATATGACCACCGTGGTGGCTTTGTGGAAGGCACAGTGATCGATGACGCGGGAGACTCCATTATATTATATAACTTATAAGTGACTAGCGATGGTAATGCCGCTAGCACGTGGAATCTGATTTATGTAAAAATTTGACGATTCTTTGTTTTTCGTTTTATTGATCCTCTTACGGGGGGGAGAAACATTTTTTTTCCCTTTTCGGTCGACAATTTTCTCCTATAATATCACATTTGACAGAGTGGTAAGTGCCCGCCCGGAGCGAGTGGTCGGACGAACAAAAGATGCAGCTCGGCGTTGTACTATACTATAAAAGGCACTTGTGATGTCTGCTTTCTTCTGTACGAACAATACGTTTAAATACTTTTAAGAGGCGCGTTTTCCTACCGGTGTGTGAGAAGGGTGGTAGTAGTGATGGTGGTGGTGGCGATGGTGGTGGCGGCGGCGGCAGGGATGGGATACAAAGCAGTCGAAACAGGCTTTTGTCATTTCCGAGGGGAGGAAACAGCCGAGGCGCAGGAAAATGAAAGTCTGCCGTTTTTTAAAAAGGTAAAAACGAGTGGGCATTATCAGGAACTTAAAAAAAAAACTATCAAGGTAAATTAAGTTTAACTGCCATAATAATAACGCCAAAAATATCAATAAATCCTTATAATTTTCGACAAAAAGGCGAGAAAAAAAATTTTAACAAAATATAATAATACTTAATAGTACCTATGATTATAAACCTAATAATAACAATAACAATAATAACAAATATATCCCTAAGACATTTCTCATTTTATTAAAATATTTTCAAGTAGGTAAAAAAAAATCTCCTGTAAAAAAGAGTAGGTATTATATTATATTATTATATAATTCAACACTTCATTGCATGCCATCCATTATTCCTTCCATGACTTGTGATTATTGCCAAAAATATGATTGAACGATGACATAATAATACGCATTATAGGTACTACCTAAATTACAATAACCACTGTTTAACTACTTTTGATTGAAAATTAAAGTTAAGGTTTTGGTAACAAAACGAGTATGCAATTTGCGAACCGTTTTGAGCTGAGATATTGTCCGTGAAGAATTTTGTGCCCCAATAATTCCTAAGATATCTCTACATTTTATTACTCGAATTTATGTCCTAAGACTACGCGTTACTGTATACGTCCCTAAACTAATATGATGAGCGCCTGAATTTTATTCATTTGTAATATCCTATATCGTCGGTAAAGCGGTTGTTGAAAAATTATATTTAATATTATATCGGGCACACGCTGCAGTGGGCAGGAATGTTATTAAAATTATGTTTGAACGCTGTGTGGACGATGTCGATTGCACATAATATTATCGTAAGACCGACGACTGGCAAGTGTCAATCACAACAACTGAACGACATGATAATAATATAAACTCACCCCTACGGTACACGTCGCATCACGCAGCAGTGCAGCAAAAACGCCAAGAGGGCTGTCGTTTTGAAAACTTCAACACACGTGCGACACTGCAGTTTTAGTTGCAGTTCTTACTTATATTGTTTTACCCCACGGCCGGGGTAGGCCGTACCAAAATATGACGGTGCGTCGGTGCAGCGAATGATAATATAATTATTTAGCTGATAGTTCAGTTTGACCAACAATAAATAGGAAAATAACAACCCTTACGCGGATATCTGCAGGAAGACGATAATAATACGGGGAATGATATATCAAATAATTATAACAATACAGGTAATAAGGTAATAATAATAATAATAATAATGTACCACCCGAGAGACCTACACGACCGCAGAAAATGTTTTGTACACCTTGTACAGCAACCAGGCGACGAGAGCGTACTTCAGGTATATCACCACCAAGTCCAACACGTAGAGTCTGCAAAAAAAAAAAATTAATTAATAATACCGAACAGTTATCCTGACCGAAAATTTTGATTGAGGGTGCGTTGAAGGGTGGTAATTAATTTGCGAACACATAAACAATTTTACACATTTATTGTGACGACGCCCCGTTTGGGTAGGAGATTATACAAACGATGATAACCCATTTACAGACCCCCCCCCTATACGGAATGTCCAGTTTTACATCCCGGATGACATTCACTAAGTGAACACTTATATAGTTTTAATATAGTCTATGATGGTTACACACAAAGGTGGGAAACTATTTTAAATCGATTAATTTACGCATCAATCAGAAAATGTAAAAGTCAACAGCTGATTTAATTTTTGGTTAACTTGGTCAACTGTTACCGGAAATGTGCGCAAACTACTCGAACAAGTGCAACTATTATTGTTCCTAGAAATTTGGGTCGAAAATTGAGCTTACACTTTCAGGGTTTTCCTGGCCTTGGGTATGGACGCAGGGTCTTCCTTCAGGCAGTACTGACGGGCTCCCAGAATACAATTCCTGAAATAAATGTCCATGTCCATTTTCTCGAAATCTATGCTGAATGTTTTCCGGTCCACTTCGGACAGGCTATCCCGGAGCGCCAACAGCCGGTCGTTTGTGAAGTCCCAATTGCGCAAAGTGAAATATTGGAGGACTCGAAGGCCGTCCGATATCTTTTGCTGAACTCTGATCATGCTGTAAACAAAAGTATAAAAAGTGATGTCATATACTTTGTCCGGAAGGCTCATCGGTATATCGTTGTTATTATAATATTATAATATATTAACACGTCAAAATAAAAACTGTAGGTTTTGGAGAACATTAATTATATTATTATTATATGATTAAATAAAACCAGTTATTTGGTATGTTGTAATTGATATTTTAATAATATTTAACAATAATTTCAGTTTTTTTTAACAATTTCTCAAATGCTTCACTCGGTGCTATAATTACAATTAGTTAATTAATGAAATAAAAAAAAAAAATCATAAGCTGTGCCTACGATATTTAAATACTTATTTGATTTTTTTTCAAATCCTAAACGTTCCTAAGAAAATTGTTAATTCACCATTTTTATAATTTATAATAATTGTTCAATAATTATTGTATTATAATTATTATAAATTATAAACATATACCTACCTATTATAGTATAAACATACAATTTCTATACTAGTTTTAAATCTGAAGATCAAAAATTAAAAGTATTATTAATAATATTGTCACTGCTAGAATTTATATACTACCTGTGTATATAAATGTTCAGGGTTTCAAATTTTAACTTATATACATTAGTAAAAACATATTTTTGGAAATTAAATTAAACCATAAATATTGTAAAGTAATCCGGCAGGTAAAGATTTCTTGAAATATTTTTCACGAATGTTTAAGTAGTAATAGTTTAGAACGATATAAACAGCTTCCGTTTTATTACTCACAAACGCTTTTGGCCGAGCAAAAACAAAATTCCGTCGATAAGGTAGGCCGGTATCCAGTGGTAACATATCACTTTGTAAGTGTGAATGAATCGGTTGGACGTCAGCGACCCGGTGGGATACCACAACATGAGCTCGAACGGGTTTTTCATCGTCTCTTCTCTGCCTTTGGCCATAACGACATCCCAAGTCATTGGGTTCAGGTTGTGCTGAGTCAAATTATACACAGGAACAACATTGGTCCTGTACAACACCAAATTTCTAATATTACTTAAAAATACTAATAATATGGACATATAGGTGTCGGTGTGACATGCACAAATACGTGCAATCGAAAAAAAATGGTATCGGTCGGCAATCGTATAATATAGGTAATGCTTAATATTATCGATTGGTTCGAATCTTGATAGCATCAGCAACCATCGCTGTTATTAGTGATATATATACAATATACATAAGTATTATGTAAATAACTTCATGATTTTTTTTTTAAACTATCCTATTATTTTTATCGACTATTTTTATCGTATATCTACAATTTGATATTTGTTATTATAAATTAGACGTGTTAAGAAATACTAGTGAAATATATTAATAAAAGAATAATATAATATATTGTATCAATATAAAGACAGTATTTGGTTGTTATAAGGGCAAAATCAGTTTGAGAGCTTAAGTAAAGAGTGACATATTATGTGGAAAGCAACATTTTCAAGGCTAGAAATGTTTATGTTTATAACCTGTATTTTAAGAAATGCCGTGTTTCAATATTTTAAAGAAGTAAAAGTTTATTAGATATAACTTAATTTTATGCATGTACTGTCTATACTTTACATCATTTTCATTAATACCTATCTGATTATGATTTGTTCATATTAAGCAGATATTAAAAATTTGTTTCGTGTTGTGTAGTGGTTCGATTTTTTTTGTTTACGAACAATATCATAATAAATATTGTACCCATGTCATCCATGGCTTTTCCGAAAAGAATTGTTTACTATTTCATGGTAAACCCCGCCCACGCCCTTCAACCACGTTTGTAGTTTGTACGCCAATGGTTGCTGTACTCGTATTGTATTGTTATTATATTAGTATTGGACTACAAGGCTCTATATACTTGCTTTTGTTTGGAAATTGCCGTTTTCCACGCGATCACGATTACGGCGTTTATTGCAAAGTCCACCGGCACGGCTTCGGCGGTGTATTCCGAATTGCAAAGTACGGACCGGAGTACGCCTTTGCCACCCGCGGCCAATATTCCTGTGGGTCCGTTGAGATTGTCCACCCAGCCGGGCAGAGGTTCCTTGAGCGCTGGCGTTACTGCGGAAAAACAACTGTTGAGTTTTGCGATTACTCGACACCCCTCCCCCCACCACCATAATACACCCCACTCGAACGAATACCTCACCTATTGAAGGCCTTGCGATGACGACCGGAAGCTGGGGATAAAAGTCGCTGACAACATCTTCGGCCAGGCGTTTAGAAAACGTGTAAGTGTTCGGATGTGGACTTATCAAGCTGCAATCACACGTTCGACGTTTTTACGTAAGTATACAAGATAACTGTTATGCACAATAATCACAGTGGTTGATTATAATAGATGAATGCGCAATCGGTACACCTCATTATGGCCGAGAAAATTGCATAAGACTTGTGACGATTGTGAACATACGATTTTAGTTAGGTAACCAACAAAAGTACACATGTGTAGGTACGCTAACCGTTCGAGTGACAACGCATTTAAGAATCGATCTACGTAAAGAGCATCTTCAATAATAGATATCACATTTAATATCACGTATTATATTTATATACAGTGGAAAAGGATATGGTATGATATACCGTATTCGGTATACGAGTATATACCTCTTGTAATGGCGTTTGGTAGAATGTTTTTAATTTTTTTACTCATCGTTTACGTGTTTTGATTATAACTGAACAATTTTTAATAATAAGTTAAAATGTCCATTACCAAAAAATCAGTGGCAAAATTCTTATATGAATTGATATGAAAATATGCAACACCATTTTAGTACCGTAATTTTCACTCATTCGTGGTAGGTAGTACCAAGTTTTTAAAAATCACCAAAATTATGTACCACGTGATTTTTTTAAAAATTTAGCACCACCAAGCAGCACATTTGTTAATATTAATATTTTTCACCTGATTTTATGGCGCAGGTGGTAATTTTAACTTATAATCGAAACTTGTTCAGCTATGACTTATAAAAAGCACCATCACGAGGAGCTACTGCAAATATCACTGCCCCATTGCCCCAATAAATGCAAGAAACTGGCAGAGTTCACACAGCATGTGAAACATAAAAAAAAATCGAACTAGTAGTGATATTTCATATTATGACACATAAAATAATAAATTGCACCAGTGCAATAATACAGTCTTATGGAAAACGCTAATAGAAATTGTATAGGTAACAATATAATATTATATCATCATAATATTCATATAGCTGGGCTGGCGCGCATGCGCCATTTCATTTCGCGCAATGGTATTATCAATCGGACTATACGCGGCGCTATATTATAATGGGAATGCAATATTGTTTTCCTTACTGAGGCGTGACCATCTTGATGGAGTTTTCGTTGAGCCAAGACGGTAACCTCATTATGTTGTATGCGTCGAAAGTCGATTTGTGCACTTCCTCGTCCAATGTGTCCAGGTCTACGTGACAAAACGCCGTGGAGAAATGTACGAAAGCCTGAAACATTCACACCGTTGCATTAATATACCGTGGTTGTCACCCTATAGGTCATCACGCGCAGGTACGCGCTTGAAAAACTTTATAATGCCACCGTCGAATCGCCGCAGTCTTAACGAGAAAACGTGATTATTGCCACATTTTCGTCGGGTAACTATACCTATTTATTAACAGTCGGTGATAAACAACTTTTAGAACGTTTTCGACTCCCAAACTGGAACTATTGAACTATTTGTGGTCGAAAACGCACGGAACCATGGTCGTAATCGTCCGAAATCCGTATATTATTATAACTTTTATATACCGTGCGCGGTTATAGAATATGTGATTTTCCAAGTCCTACTCAAAACAAATATTTCGGCTTATTCACAATATAGCTGGTTATGGTATAATACTATAAAACTGCGACTGTGAACGATTTTCTAGGTATTAAGAATACATTTTCCAAAATCAAAAAATTTATAAATAGGTGGGTTGAGGGTAGTGGGTACTTATGCCATCTACGTATTTCTATACCCAGGTCCGAGTTAAAATTGGGTCTACCCACTAGGTACTTTATTATCACATTTAAAATAAAATGTATGATATAAAATAGGTATGCATATTAATATTATATATATATAAGAACATATTTTTTGGTGTTGGAAAAAATGCCACAATGGTCTTGATGGCATTATTTTTCCTCTATTTAGTGCTAATAAAATTGTGCGAGCCCAATAATACACCGACCACCACACGATATCGCATTAATGTGAGAATTGCACTTGTAATTTGTAAGCTTGTAACAGTTGGGCCGACGCATTTCTATTTTAATTTGTATTATTTTCTAGTTTAAATTGTATAGGTTCACTATAATATTATCACTAGTAATATTTTTCATGTTTTCCCAAATTATGACTAACATGAGATGATTGAATTATTTCTTATTGATATTTACAGTTGAAAATATTTTATTCGTACATTATAGGTAGGTCGTATTTGGTACCTAATTAGTAATTATCATCTCTCACAGAACCCAACAGAAGTGTAATAGCCGATCCCGATTGACTGAACACGAACAGACAATTTAATTTTACGTCGATGGTTTCATTTAAAATTGTATTACAGAGTCTTTTAGATTATGATGTGAGTGAATTCTGAGTGAAGTAAAGAATGTATATTGATTGATGATGTGTGTTTTTTTATTCATTTATGTGTCTGAATACACTTTTTCTAATAGAAAAAATGTTTCAATCATTAACTTTGAGGGAGATTCTGGTAGCAAATTGGATCTATAGTTAGTACTTTTCATAGGTAAAAATTGAAAAGCCTCAGTACTTTTAAAATATGTAATCAAGAATTATTTCCAAAAAAAAAATCAAACATTTGTTAAATTTTAATATTATTATTAAAATAATTATTTAGTACCTTTGGTTGACAAAAATGTATACACTCTTCGTACTCAAAATTGTTTTTTATTGTATACAATGATAATTTATCATTGAATTCAAGTTTATCACTTCCATTACAGTGCCATACTCAGTGACGAGGCACACGTGACACCTACACCTGTAGTATAGCAGAGCGGTTACCTACTTGACAGCTTTATTTTTAATAAGTGTGCAAAGCGAATAAAATTAAACCTGCCGAGTTCATTTGTGTGTGTATGAGTGTGAATATAAATGTAAATATTTAAATCAATTAAAAGGTATCAATGTGGTTATTATTATTCAATTTTATGTAAAGGGCACCTCTAGTCGATAACACGTCACCAAATACATTTCATATTTTAAAACTGTTATATAGATTAGGTTTATCCACTCACTATCGGCCCATTAAATTTTCATACTTTATTTAAAAAATAGGAAAAACAATTTCTATAATTCTATATAAAATTAAATGTCAATAACATAATATTTTTTGAGAAAAACAGTATATTATAGTTTTTTTTATTTTTAATGTTAGTTTTTAAGACAAACCAATTTCATACTTCAAAGCTTTGTGCGAAAACGTTGACATGTGAATGGCTTACATCGAACAGACAATTTTTTTTTAATCTTAGTAGATGGATTGCATGGATAATGAGTGTTCTGTGTCAAATGCATCATTCTGAGATTACTTATTATTATTATTTTTATTTTTTGCACACAACTTTATTTAATTAAAATTATTTCAACTGTGCGTAACGGTACATTTTACAAGTCCAGTCATAATTAACTGTACATAATATTATAGGCATTTTATATGTGTATCGTATCAAAAACAAAGATAAATACATCTTTAAGCCATGATCGATAAATTCATATAATATTATTTATAGCTAATATTATAACCTTATATATCATTACCTCTAAATTTTTCATTTCTGAGCATAATTCGAGCATGCGTAGCGTTCCGCTTGTGTTCAAGTTTATGGCCTCGGTCAGTGACGCGTCCAAGTTCAACGTGGCCGCTCCGTGAAAAACAATCGACACTTCCGATATGAGCCTTTCCTTAATTTCCTGTGTGATGCCCAGTCCGTCCAGACCTACATCGCCGCACACCACTTGCAGCTTGGACAACAGCGATTTGTTCGTTTTCCTAATGGAATCAAACAACTATCGCCGAAATATTGAAATCTCGTTGAATATTATACAATATAATATTATTATACTCCTACAACTATCTCACCGGTGCTTTTATGATTTCCTGGTATCGCAGAAGAGCAGACTTGCCTCTTTTCGATCTTATCAACACGAAAATGTTTTTTATTCCCGGACAGCTGTACAACAGTTTCCAGACGAGCACTTTTCCCATGAGACCCGTACTTCCGGTGACAAATACGGATCGGCCATTGAAAAACTCAGATATTACACTTTTCTCCATCTTGGACTCGACCTATACAATCAAATGGATGAAAATGTAAAAATATTAATATTATGCTCACAACTATAATACGTAATTATCGTCGTAACAGATTATTTATTTTTATTATTGTTTTGATAAGGGCTTCAACAGCGCAGGTTTTAACCCCACATTTACATAATAACTATTGACTCAATATTTTATACGGTTTATTATTTCCCATATACATTATGTGAAATTGTATTTATTTGAATGATGGAAAATTTGAACGAATAAAATAGGTACCTACCTAAACTAGATTTATTGTCTTAAACATAATAATATAATAATATGATGTACCTATATAGGTACAATAAATACTAATATAAAATCACCATTATAATATCACTATTTAATTAAAGTGTACGAGATGTTGCTAATTTAGTATTACACCGATAAATTAAAAGTACATGTATAAATTAAACTGTTATTTTCGAGTTAATCAAATTATAATTAAATTACTAATTCAAATTTCAATAAACGGAATAGCTATATCATTATTTAAAACCTATTTGCATCATAAACGACGGACATAATAAAATAATTGTATACATATTTCAAACTAATTATACGGATTACATATAGTATTACGGTGTGATAACAGTAAATTAAAATGCGAAATCAATTGATGGTAATTGGTAATATTGTTAATGATAGTAATAATAATATTATGATATTATGTTATATATTATTATTATACATAGACGGGTAGTTAATAACAGTACCGAGGTCAACAATTGAGGACTGACTCTTACGGAATGGTTCGACGATTACCTAAAGTTGAAAACTAGTTTGGATACTATGTTATGGGTGGCTTATTATTACAGCTGTTATTAAAGTTACCTATGTGTATCATTTAAAATGGTTTTTATTTTTTTGATTATATTATGAAAACAACAATAATAATAGCAACACAATATTATTATTATAAAGACAACGAGCGCCACGGACTTCTTCACTTATATAATATTATTATCAAGAAACAGGTATTTATTATTTATTAAAAGGTATCTATTAATTTTTATAATAACAAAATCTAAACATAAATAATATATAAAACCAATAATTATAACGCATTTTATTTTGAATCAATTTCTAATCGAATACGATGATGTACCTATACCTATTTTACTTAACTGTAAAATTGTAAACTACGAACACGTAATAACTACTAATGTTTCTATATATGGAATATATAAGGAATAGATAGTAGTGATAATACTATAGTATTCACTTCGAATATTGCATATATTATCGTTTAATAATGGTAAATAATATATGTATAATGTGCTGTGAAATAGTAAAAGTTTAACCATCAATGCCGTACAGACTACAGTCTGTACAGTGCATTAAACGGCAAGGACTTGCCTACACGGTCTCTCGAAGTAATAACATAATATTAAGCAACATTTTTATTTTTACTCACGATTATAACCATAATATATTAATATTTACTGTTTTGGACTGTTTTAACGTGTGCCAATTTTTTTCATACGTCTTGAACATTTTTTAAAAAAATGCTAATCTAGAGTTGCTTAGAAGCTATAATATTATGATGATTATTAATAAGCGCATATTAATATATTAATATATTATGATTTATAACGTATACATAAATACAAAATCTGCAAATAACGTCTTATAAACGTAGCTGCCTTACAAACAAATGTGTAAAACCAAACATGGTTAGAAACTTTTGTACTAAAAAATTATAACGTGACACTCTGTCGATAACAATTTATAGAAATTAACATAGACAAAAGCAATCAATGATCGGGAAGATAAATGTCACATTTTTGAAATGTTCAAAATTCTATAACGAATATAGAAATATGTACTTACATAATGTTTTCAAAATAACAATTTCTGAATTAAAAGAATAAAATAGATTTATAACCATATGGTCCATGAAGCTTGATCGTTAAGTTTATTTTTTATTTGCTGTCCTCTAAAAATCTTTTGGGAAATTAAAAATTGACCTGTTTGAAGTACTATTCGTATTCAGTTATTTCAAAACTAAGAGGACTGTGACTCATGACTTTTATAGTACCTACTAATTTTACCAAAAATATAATATCTACCTAATTATGAAAAAAAAACTTGTTTTGACATTCAAATGCGATTTAATAAAGTTAAGATTTTTAATTTTGTAATTTGTAATTTGTTGTCCTTTCAACATAATATAATATGTATACAAATATACAAATATTATAATTAATTATTGTTTAAGTGTAATTACTTGTTGGGCCTCCACACGAGTTATCTCAGTGAGGCTCAGTAATCTGTTAAACGATTTTTAATAAAAACAAAAAATAAAATAATATAAGACATAGCCACATAGGTGTTATAATTTTCATAGACATAATATAAGAGATCAATAAAAAATAAAAATGTATTTATTAATTATAATTACACAATTGTATCACTCTTATATTCATGACATTTATAATTTAAAATGTTAGCAGTTAAATCAAAAATTGTTTACAAAATACAATATAATATAATTCATGTTTTTCAAAACATTTAAATGTTATTCTATAAAATAAATACATAATACCTAGATATACTCTATACAATTATCTTCTTCTATTTTTTTTTTTGTTTCATGAAAGTTAAATTACCCATGAGATAATGTACTCGAACAACTAACTATTTAAAGGTTTTTATTTTTTGATATAATATAGTTCTTGGAACTCGATTATTTTGTTGCTGTAAATAAACTAACTTTTATTACGAACGTGATGATACCTATAACTTGATCAATGCCAGTAGTATACAATATAGATATATTAATACTTAAAAAACGTTTACGGTTTACACAACTGCTTATTTTACATCTCAATGCAGAGAGAGTGATAGAAAGTGGGAGACACTTGTGGAGAGAACTAAAACTATGAATGAATAATAATACCTTGTTAACTAAATCTTTGGAATTGATTTTTAAATACCTATTCGAAAATTAAACGCCAGGAATATTGATTTATGAGTCTCGTTGTTTATTTTTAATTTATAGAATTCACATTTACTAATCACAAATGCACCGTTTTATGTGACAATATTTAAATCTTTCATGCAGATTTATAAATGAGAGCAATACTACAAAAACAGCTCTCAAAAATCTTACACTCATTGATATAAGTCTTTAAAATAACCCCCCACTCCTCAAAAAATAAAAATAATAATAAATGAAAATAAACTTAACACACAATCACATTCCGTAATCGTTTTTTATCTGAGACCCTATGGGAGTTGATTCAGTGAGTGCCATTTCCAAATTAGTTTCATTTTCACTTTTAATCCATATTATTATTCTGTAAGTATCACTTATCATAACAAATTCGTATGGTTTGTGTAAATTAATCAAAGGGGAAAAAAGGAATTTGCGTCTATCGTTGTCGTGCACAATGTACAATACAATATATTATAGAAGAAACAATGTAAATTATACTCGTATAATATACTCGATACCTAATACTAATCGTTTTGTAAATCTCGCACGTGATAAAATGCAAGACACAATGTATACATATTTTGTTCGACACCCGTACAATTACCTACTGAAATCGTATTGCTATTTGCTACCAGCTATTATAAGACTTATAGTTTGAGTAGTAATCAGCGTCCCATCTCGTAGAAACCACACGCGTAGGCGGATAGAAGAATTTTAATTATAATCTCTGGTTTTTGCACGTCTTTATCTACCACGCTCGAGGTATGGTGAGATTAACGAAACTCAACTTCTGCGAGTAAACTTCTCTAATGAAGATACCTTATGAACTTTAAGAGGTCGATCTAGTAAAAATAAAACTAGCTTGTATTTGTTTGGTTTGCATCCGGAAAGTGTAATGAAAATCACCCTAACGCCGCAAAATTCGTTATCCGATAGTTATAAAACAATATTGACGTGGTATTGGTGGCATGTCTATCTATCTAGTTAGGTTAGGTCTATCTATTCGATCGAAAACAATCATCATTTCACATTCGATCCTCACGCACTTTACGATTCGTTTATAAAATAGTATACCATACAAAATAATATAAATTATAAACTCACATCGCCAATGTGGTATTCTGCTGTAACAGTCATAATTTACCGCGAATATTGTGCAAATATTATCGAAGTCGGTTGTACAGAAATCGAAAAAAATTTAATTAAAATTGTTCAATTTAAGAGTTTAAGAACAAGTAGTTGAATTTTTACGTTTTTTCGAAATAACTAAAAAGTAAAAAACTGTTGCAGGCGTTGTATATGTTTTCAAAAGGAGATCTTCAATATTGATACCATTTACCAGGTAAAAAAAATTGGATCGGAATAATAAGATACGTAGGTACCAAATCTTAAAGAATTAAATATAATATACACTTACGAGAAAATACAACAAAGAACATTTTAATAATTTATTGAACGTATTATTATTAATTATTTCATGGAGTAAAAAAAATATTGCTCACAAGTATTTTATAGGTATCTAACCTACCTATAGTCTATACTCTATACAAATATTAACTGTATTTATTTACGATAAATGTTTTAATATGCCGTATAGCTGTTTGTAAAAACAAAACAAGCAGAATATAATATATAAATTTGATGTCTCGTTAACGCTAAATTGCATATAAAAACAAATTAAATGTCCGTAGGGATGCCACCCCGTTCGATGGCATCCCCTTGAGCTATTTTCATGCTATTAATTCTATATAGGTAATGTGCATCGATTAAACCAATTACTTACTGTACCTTTTGTACAGATTGTAAAAAATGAAAATATCCTACTAAACTATACCTACTACAATACAGCCACAGTATTTTATTTCGGTATGACTTTTATTCAAAAACTGGTCGAAAAAATCTAAGTTTATATTTTTTTAAATTTAAAAAGTGGGGTGGGTGTATCCTGAATCCCGTTCCGAATTCCCCTATAAATAAAACTGCATACCCACATGCATTTTAAATAAAATCGTGTCTACATTTGACAGTAATAAAAATATATTAT